TATCTAGCTACTCAACCTTTGCGATATACGCACCCTAACCGTGATCAGGAGACTCAAGCTCGTATCACAGTACCATAAATATATATATAAATTCTTTCCTAATGCCGAAAGATAAAACAAGCATCCATTATGTTGTTCAACTGTTTTAGTTGACAGGACATGTATCTATGTAGGAGTTAACTATTTTAGTTAATCCATTCTGTATGTAAGAAGGGGTAGGACTTAGCTTTTTGATCTAATCCATCCCTGATATGTCACCGTCCCATACCGGTACATATAATGCAAATGATCCATAAACGATGCACATTCATTAGAACATCAAATAAATCCAGAAACCAGCATAATAGAAAACAGATATTATTAAGATCCTATTATGCATCCAGTATATGATTATAATCATTAATCCTCCAAATAAATTGTTAAAGTATTGATAAACAATTTATATTATCCACATCCATACAATTGATAAAACAGAAGTTAAACAGTTCATCAATTAACATCCATAACCTGTTATAATGATCAGCCAGAAATATGAACTAAATACATTATACTAGATATCCCAAACCATCCTCTCATATTATATTATTTAAATTGCCAAAACAAAGACAAGTAATGAAACCTCCACAATCCTTAACAGCATGAAAGTTAGCATTTACACCACATGACGTCCCTTTGATCCTCCACTCCAAAACCTGTGCCTGATATAATATGACACTCTGAATTCCAAACTGCTCATTATATGAAACTCCAACAGTATTCCCCTACTAGTCCATTTAGTTCGCTAAACCAAAACTAGCAACTAAAATTCCTACCACTCCTGACAGCATGCCATTTAATATCTAAGTTAATACTGTCTATGCCCATATCCTACACCGAACTTTCTGGCCTCCATTAAAGTATATAAATAATTTATATAACATACCAAAAGTAATTCGATACCAGTCAGTTTAAGTTATTAAAACAAACTTATTAACTTAAACATTCATCCTTCCTTGACAGCATGCCTATTCCACGTTTCTGTTTCCTGATACCCCTTAAGATTAGCACCCTAGCATAAACCAACTATTTAAGGGTCTTAATAGGTTAATTTTAACATATTTGAAACCCCCTTTAATTTTCAATATTTGTGTTTAACCCCAAAACTCCGGAAAAATTGCAGAAAACACCCCGTAGGGGTTTTTTTCCCATGGGAGCCGGCTCCCCTTTATTGGAGCCGGCTCCTAGGCTTCTAGAGCCGGCTCCCCCTCATGGAGAGCCGGCTCTCTCTTCATGGGAGCCGGCTCCCACCATTTAGGAGCCGGCTCTCACCCCTGAGAGCCCCTCTCTGCTTCACCGCTTCGTCTTCGCTTCCGGCAGAAGTTCCAACTGTCTGTCCTAAGTTTCTTAAGGATTTTAAGAGTTCAATTTAAGCCCTAATACTCCTAGAAACTCCTTTGATTTCCCTAAGAATAGTTTGGCAAAAATCTAATTTGAAGACAAAAACAGTTTATGCAAACAACCAATTCAGTTCTTCTTCACTTCCGGCGAAGTACAGTGTCATATCCCAAACTTTTGTAGCATTCTTTGGATTATATTTAAGTTCTTATAGTCCTAGAACCTCTCATACTCCAGTGTAAATCAAACGACATAAATTAAACTCACAACAGAATAGTTTAAGGAACAACAGGTTTAAACTTTAAAAACACAGAACAGATTTCAGAAATCATCTAGCAATGCATAAAATCCGTTTTTAATAGTTTAATTAAGTTCCTGGAGTCTATCTAAGATGCACAGAACACAAGTTTATGGGGAAAGAGATAGTCTGAAACTTGCCTTTAGGTTTCGGTTTGAAACCTTTCAACGCCGTTGCTAACTAGTCCGACGAACTGTAGACTACCGGCAACTCTCCTACTGCTCCAGTTCTATCTCAGCATCAACCTCTTCCTTCCTCTGTGGTACACCTTTAGTCCATAGATGAAAGCTTAATTGATTCTCTCTGTGTCCCTCTGTGTTTTTCCCCTCAAACCTCTCTGTTTCTCTCTTCTCTAGTTTCCCTCTGTTTACCTCTCCAGATTATTACGTGAAAAGGGTGTCTTGCAGACAAATATTTTTCTATATATATAGACTTATGCAAAAAAACCCTAATCCTAATTCCAGCCCAAGTATAAGTCGGCCAACCAAAATACTTAACACCAAAACCCTAAACGTAAATATAAGTACAACCATATAACTTAAATCAAATAAGTCACACAAACCATTTAAAAACACGTAATAATAAAAAAAATACCAATTAATCAAATAAATAAAATAAATCCCAATTGCACGTAATTAAGTTAAAATAAATAAACAACATAAAACAAATACACAATACCAATTCTAAACAAGTAAGACAATTAACCACTTAGCCAGATAAATCATATTTAAATGCACACAAAACAAATAATCAATTTATCAATTAAAAATGCACATAAATAATTAATTAAATTTCCATTATATCCTTTTTAAAATCAGGGGTATTACACACACTACCAGTGAGATATTTAGGGGTGCCATTGATCTCTACAAACTTAAAGACTGAACATTGCAGCCTGTTGGTAAGCAGAATTACCCACAGAATCACTAACTGGACTTCCAGATCTCTCTCATATGCAGGTAGACTCCAATTGATAAATTCAGTACTGGTATCAACACAGAACTACTGGTGCAACATCTTCATCCTGCCAAAGGGAGCCATTGATGAACTCAACAAGATTTTTAGGAGATTTTTGTGGTCAGGGCCAGAAATGAAATCTTCTAGTTCTAAGGTAGCTTGGAGTAAAGTGTGTTGTCCTAAGACCACAGGTGGTCTGGGGATCCCCAATTTGGAGATTGCGAACAAGGCTGGAATTATTAGATTCATTTGGGACCTCTTCAATGTTTACACAAACAGACTGTGGGTTAGGTGGTGCCACTCTTATCTCCTGAAGTCTAGGAACCTATGGACATTGAACTACCCTCAGCCATGCTCTTGGAGTTGGAGGAAAATCCTCCAACTAAGGCACCTTGCTAGACCACTCATAAAGCACTCTATAGGCAATGGTGCTACAACATCCTTTTGGTGGGACAATTGGGCTCCTGGGGGTCCTTTAAGTTCAAGATTTCCAGTTGATTTACTCACTGCAGCTGGCTTCAATGGTGCAACAACTGTGGATTCTTTCATTGTCAACAACAAATGGTCATTCCCTGTCTCTCTCACTGGTTCAATACCGGAATTGCTCTCAATACCTAATCCATGCTCTTCTAGAAATGACAGTTTGAAGTGGACAGCTTCACCAAATGGCACCTATTCATTCAGACATACTGTGGCACGTATGGTTGGTGACCTTCCTATTGTCCCTTGGTACAACCTTGTTTGGCAATCCCCAACCATACCAAGAATGAAATTCAATCTCTGGCTGGCTGCTCAATGCAAACTTCCAACACTCGACAGCAAATTTACGGCTAAACACCATAACATTTGCCCACTTTGCAACATATCAAGTGAGTCACATGATCATTTATTTTTTAATTGAACCTTCACTTCCCCTCTATGGCGTTTTATCAAATACAAGAGCAACATTCACACTGCGATTACTAATTAGGAGAATCTTGTATCGTGGATTAGTACCGAATGGAAAGCAAAAACTCCTACTAACCTACACAGGAAATTATGCTTATCTGCTTTGGTATCTCATACCTGGGAAGAGAGAAATGCTAGAATTTTCAAAGGCCACAAATCTTCACAGAGAGTTGTCTGTGTAAAAGTTTGCTCCATAATAGTGAGTATTTTGAAGTTAGGCTGTCTGAGAGAGTGCACTTCAGCGAAATTAATCCTTACGGATTGGAATTTATCCCTTTCATGTTGCAGGCCTCCCCCTTGGCCATCAGATTGAGTCATCAAGGCTTTGCCCCCCTTTGTCTTAACCGGAATGTTTTGTTGCTCACCATTAACTATAGTTAGTGGTAGTTTCTTGCTTTTATGATGGCTGTCCTTGTCTGGGCCGGTTTGTCCTTCATTGGGCCTGTTTCGCAGCCTTAGGCTTGCTTTCATTTTGGGCTAAGCCCTCATTTTGTATACTACCCTCATTAATGGAAATTGCTTAAATTTTTGAAAGAAAAAAAAAAAAAAAAAACAACAACAACAACAACGACCATGCAAGATTATTTTAATATTATTAATACAATGATCTAATTTATATATATTTATATATTATTTTTTTATAAAATTTATATTAATTAAAAATAAATAAATCGCGAGGAGTGTCCATAGATATCAGAAAAGTGGATATTGACTAAAACATTTTAAAGATGGATCCGGCAAAGCTAGTAAACGCCGAAAATTTCATAGTAATTGTGTAATTGACTTTCCCACCAAATAAACAGTCTCCACTTGTGACAGTGACACACTCACCTGGATGGAAACCCCAATCCAGGATACTTCCTAGTAATTCACGCTCAGTGTTCATAGAGTAGATGACATATATACGATTATACATGTATTTGTATGTGTATCTGTGAATGTGTCTATATATATATATATATATATAATGTACTAAATCGACGACTTGGCAGAGAAATTCAAACTCAACCCTGATTTTCAAACCATGGCTTTACGGGTCCATTTGAAGCCGTTGCTTTTTCTCAACCCTAGACGCGTCTCTCTGCAACTTCCTCTCACCTTCTCCATCAAAATACTCGGCAGCGTAGGTACGCGTTAATTCTCTCTCTCCTCCACTTGTTTGATGTTGTTGGATTATTGTATGTTCTTTAGTACATTTCCATCTTCACGCGTTTGTTCCGCTAGTTTATACAGTATTTATTAGTAAAGAATGTCAAAAGTATCAAATGGGTACAATTCACTCAATCTTATTAATTAATTGATTGTGACAAGCCCTATGTGAGTATATTCTTCCTAACTTGGGTGAATCCAAAAATTAATACAAAACACACACCCACACACACACCCACACATATATACGTGTATATGTATGTACTTATGTGTATATTGTATTATGACAGTTAAGGTGATTTTGTTGTTTGGTGTAGTATGGATCCTGAGCTTGACTTTTTGTTTTTTGTTCCTTTCTTTTTTTAGCGCGTTAATTGTAATTCAATTGAAGCTTCCTTGTACTTTCAATGTGACGGGTTACTTCAATGCCTTTATATACAGTTTGAGAGTTGCAGTTTTGGGTTACCTGTGTTTTAGTCTCTGGAGTTTTGTTGTTTTTCAGCTGGTTAATCATTCAGTTATTGGGGTTTTGATGGCTGTGAAGCGGCTCTTTGGCGAGGATGATCTCGGCTCCGACGTTCCGAGCCGGGAATCCAAAAGATTTGCAAGGTGGGTGGTTTAGTAGATTGGGTTTTGTTTTGTGTTTGAATATGTTTATATATATTTTCTAAGAAATGGTTTTAAGCTGGGTGTTGTGATATTTGTGCAGTGTTGTTACAGATGTGATGAAAGGAATTTCAGTACAGGAATTCGCAACAAGGATGGAGCCTTTTTTTCGAAGTTTGGTAGGACGACTCTGTCTACTCGTAGAGTCTAATTCAATCCATTTTCAGTGAATTTTAATTAACATTTCTGCTTTGATCTTGATTAATTAATTAATCAAATGCTTTACTTTTTGTAGCTCTTTCAATTAGTATTATATTTAGTTCAATTCCAGACCTTTGTGCTAAGATTTTTTTATTTATTTTTATTTTAATTATGAATAATAATAAGTTTGGACTGACAAATTAGGTTGTTCTTTGAGTCTTCTATAACTTTGATTGTTAAGTTTGTTGCTTTGTATTTCATTATTTTATTATACTTGGTGTCCGCTCCATAATAGCTCCAAGTTACTACCATGTCAAGACATTAGATTTGTTATGAAGCATTTTGGAATACATGTATCTGGTTAAAATGACTGAAGTAATCATATTTGAACTACTTCGACTTTCAAATTTGTGTTCATTATTTCCTAATCCTTTTGTCTTTGATAGGTGAGGGAGGAGGCTGAACGTGCAATTCTACGCTTTCATCACTCCTCTTCAAGGTTAGTTCTTGGTGCCAATTATTCTTTTTGCAATCTTTCCAGATAATATCAGTGTCCAATGGTTCTTCTTGTTAGATGCTTTAAGCATTACGAGATTTTCGATCAAATCAAATTTGATTTCATTGATCTTTTTTGGGTTATGTGGACTGGATCGATCATGTTGAGTTTCATCAGTCTATTAATGTTTCTTTCTTGGAATAAACTTCTTATAACTGTTGATCTTGTTTTCTTCAAAATCTTTTCTCTGATATCCATTACCACAGTCTAAAATGGGTTTTCATATGCTTTGTCACAGACCATCACTTAATCAAATCGAGTCATCTGGAACAAGTGCTTGGCAGTTGCATTTTGTCACCAAATTGCCCTCAACCCTGTTCACAGGGAGCAGGATAGAATCTGAGGACAATAAACAAGTTAAAATAGTTATAATTGATGCTTTGTCAAAGAAGATAATAACATCTGGTTCCCTATCTTCAATTAAGATTGAAATTGTTGTCCTGGATGGTGATTTTGTTGTTGATGATCAAGAAGATTGGTCTGAGAAGGAGTTCAATGCCAAAGTTATACGTGAAAGAGAGGGCAAAAGGCCACTGGTGACTGGGGATAGGGTAATTACAATGGAAAATGGAGTTGGCTATATTGGTGATATCAGCTTTACGGATAATTCAAGTTGGATAAGAGGTCGAAAATTCAGGTTGGGAGCCAGAACTGTTCAAAGCATTTCCACTGAAGCAAGAATCAGGGAAGCAAGAAGTGAAGCTTTTATAGTAAAAGATCATCGTGGAGAGTGTAAGTTTTTCTTCCTCACTGCTTTCCCTCTTCTTATTAATGAAAAACTTAAATCTTTGGCTCCTTTATATTAAATATTCCCAGTTGTACTCACTTCTACATAAGTAAACACCTGTATATATCTACGTCCGTATACATGCTTATACAAGTGTTTAAAGTGCATTTTCTAAGAAATAATAAATTATTGTCAAAGTTTCAACCAAACATAGGGAAATAAGAAAAAAAACAATTTTCATGAAAAATATTTACTGGTGTGAAAATATTTTAAATTGAAATAAATGTAGCTGTGATTGTAACAACATCCGTTTATTACTTATATGTCATTGTCAAAAAATTTAGTTTGTTGGTGGGTTGATCTCACAAAGTCTACTTAATTCAATCAATAAATGAGTACTTCGATGAGTGATTGAATTTTAGTTCTCACTCAGTTGACTAGTTAAAGCAAGTACTTGACTGCATAGCTTGATTCAAAACTACTTGCATGCCTTAGATTTTTTCACTCAGTATTAAATGTTTAGTAAATTTAAGTTAATAATCATTTCAAATATATTACTAGATCATGTTAGAATCTTTACGTTATAGCATTGAAAATTAGGTTCTTGATAAATTTTGTTTGATAGCTAAAATAAGTTGCATCTTGAAATGTTCAGAATATATACAAACACACATAGGTACACACATTAATTCATAACCTAGTCTTGGCTTTTGTACACAATTGTTTTTGTGTTAAATCCAACCTGATGAGCGGTGACATATTAAGTACAAGTTTCCAATTTTTAAAGATGATGTTAGCGGTAGGTGGAATTCTGAGACTGAGAGGTGATTTGTTAATTCAGCTTATAAGAAGCACCACCCTCCATCTCTGGGTGATGAAGTATGGCGCTTGGAAAAGATAGCAAAAGATGGTGCATTCCATACACGGTTGGCTGATAAAGGAATTCGCACCGTGAAGGACTTCCTTCGGTTCCGTGCCATTGATGAATCATCACTGCGCAAAGTAAGAGACAATCTTTTCTTTTTATTTTTCTTTCTTATCCTATACTGTAAACACTAGATGTACGTAAGCAATATATATAGAAAAGTTCTTCCCAATGAATTCACTAACCTTGTAACTTTGAAGTTGCAGACACTTGGTGGTGGGATCTCTAACAAGTCATGGCAGGCAATCATAGATCATGCTACTGCTTGTGTTTTAGATGATAAGATGTACTTGTACTACATGGAGGCTGAAAGAGTTGGGCTTTTGTTCAATTCCATCTATCATGTTATAGGAGCAAACTTTGACGGCCAGAATTACCAGTCTCTGCATACACTCAACTCATATCAGATGGTTAGTACTTTTTGCCTGGAATTTGTTTTGATTAATAATTATTGTCCTTTCTCCTTAACTTTGTCTCAGTAGATCTTTCTTTCAGTGATATTATGTCTTTGTTTTGGTTGGTTGGCAAAGGATGAGCATGCACATGTATGGCATACCTCGACTAACATATATAGCAAAGACTTTTCAAACTGTAACATACGCTGGTGTAGTGATTAGGAATATTGTTAATTCGTATTTCTTTTTCCAATTTGATTTATGGAAGGGGAAAAATTATGTTTGGTTTAATTATTATAGAATACAGATCCATTGAAATTGCATCACACTACGTTACCAAGATTCTCTCTGGCCAACATCAGTAAGTTTGGACCCCTTGTTGACTAATTGCATCAGGACTCTCGAAAACCTTCAAACAGTCATTGATGCAATTTTCTTTAGATGCTTGCTTTGCAAAATTTTGTCTTGTTAACTTTAATGCTATCTTTCTTTCTTTTTATTTATTTATTATTGTTACCTTTTCCTAATCAAATTATTAACAATATTATCATAGTAAGACTTTCGTTTTCAACATTACATATTTGGAAGCAGAAAGGTCATTGTAGAGTAATGAATTTAACGATGGTAGTACTTTAGGCTGGTATATGAAAACAGATTTGTGTGTCCAGTGTGGGTACCAGTCCAAGTATAAGAGGACATAGCTAAATATTAATTTTCAAAATTCTCCTTTTATTTTCTAGAGTAAATTGATGATTCAATGTAAAAAGGGTATTTAATATGGATACTCATTTTAAAGCAATAATATAGTAAAAAGATATACTAAGAAAATTTTATGTGCAATTATAAGATAACCTTGAATTACGGGATATGCTTGCTAAACACATATCTGTCCAGATTGCCGGACACATGTAGTGTACCATACCCACGTGTTTTGTGCCAAGGACATAGAAACTTCCCTTGTTAGAGTCCATGTAACATAGAATTTAGGTTTTTGTTTTTCCGTTATAGATGGGAGATGTCTTGTTGTTTGGATGGCACTATTTATGCTCCAAGGGTTGTAGTCCAATAGAATCTCCTTAGCTCCGAAGTGGTAGGTTGAGGATTCTATTCCCATAGGTGACATAGGTGCATGTGTTATTTACACAGGACAAAAAAGATAAAGACATTCCCCCCCAACCAACATCTGTGATTGACTCTCTAGTTAACAAAGGAATGTTGAGGGTTGAAAATGATGGTGCCATTGGAGCAAGGATACTAGCAGTTCTGGGAAAGAGAGAGAGAGATAGAGAGAGAGTGGAATTTGACTTGTATGCAGATTGTGGTTAGTTGCCAAGCCTATTTAGGCAATGAAGTGAGAGTTCCACGCAAACACAGAGAGAGAGAGAGAGAGAGAGAGAGAGAGATATGGTTTAAATTGAGTAAGCTGAGAAGTTCTCTTCTAGGAAGAGGGATTTTTAGAGTATGGAAGGTTTCAAGTTGCAATATAGATTAAGAGTATGATATCCATGGATTTGGATTGGAAGTTTAAAAATTCACTACAGACTAACAACATGTGGATGGCAAGCCACTACATCCTTCACGGCTCACGTGGTCACACCCTTGAATGGAAAGCTTAATTGTTCCAATTGATGTTCTATAGTGGAAGAACTCACTATAGTCGTTTGTGTCCACCACATGCATACACACAAATAGCAGCAAACATCCAGGCTTCATCACTTGAATGGAAAGGTTAATTGCTCCAATTGATGGCTTTGAATTAAATGAATTCCACTTTTGCCATCATTAGTATCATCACAAATAGTGTATTTTGCTCTTAATTTGTTGGCTTCTGATTTTAATCTGATCAACTTCAATGTTCATTCAGCGGCAGGTGCAAGATTTGAAGCAGCATGCTTATAAAAATTTGAATAACTTGGTTGAAATTAATGAGCCATCTCTTGTTGGCCCTTCATTGCCATTATCAAGCCTCCAAGACCAGTTTGGCAGTCCAAATTTAGTTCAGGATGTTAATTTCCCAGTTTCACAGCAAGGTACGAAATTGTCGAGCTTTTCCTTTTTTATTTTTTGGTTATTTTCTTTTCTTTATTTCTCTGGTGTTACTTGAATTTCGTAAGTAATACATAGAAGTGAGGTCCTTTTTCGGTGAATCAATAGGCAATTCAACAATTCAGTGTCCTTTCCCATGAAACAGTTTTATTGAATCTCTGAAGAGATTTTTATCAGAAAAGGAAACATTTGAAGTGGCCTGATAGGCTGCAAGGGTCACCCAAATGTGTGAGGTTTTCTTTTTGCAATGTAGACTCAACATATTGTCGATTACAGTGAATTATGAATTTCCTTAGAACTTTATATAATCAGTGAGAATTAAAAAATGCAACAGATTCAGTAAAGGGATTTAGTCTGTAGTAGGTTTAGGCACATCAGCTGTGTCTTAACGAGCCTAGGGCAATTTGGTTGTCTGTGTGCCTTTAGGGGTGTTTACAACTTTATTCACGTCCTATATGCTGGCTATAGGATATCAATATGTTTAAAATCCACTGATACTCTTCTGTAGTTAGTGATTCAAGTTCACGGTTTTCATTTTCCAACTCATATTTGCATCTCTAAAAGTCTCTGAAACCTTTGCACAGATCAGCTGGAGATGCAGCTGGGTTTCAATCATACAACTTCAACCGGCTATGGCTTTGAAGTGGAAGATGGTAGTCAATTAGAGGTTTCTATGGGACTGAATTGTCACCCAGTGCAAGCTTTCCTTCCAATGCTGAGTAACAATTTGGTGGTGACTGATTCTTGCCCTGGACCCTACAGTGAAGCAAACAATTGGGCTCCCGGTGGGTCTCTGGGTCAAGTTGTGCAGATTGGTCACCCAATTCCTGAATATAATGCTCACTTGGAAACGTCAACATGGAAAGGGAATGGATTCTTCTTTCCTCCAAGCAATGGAAGAGTTGGAATTCGTTCATCTAATTTTGGTATCCAGATCTCAAGGAATGGAAAACCTAAAGTGAGGTGGTTTAAGGTTCGGGCTGCCTTGAAGTGGGGGATATCGGTTAGGCGGGATGTGGCTGCTAAAAGAATGGCAGGGCTCCTTTTACCTAAATGTCTAACCTACAGCTTTTAAGAAGCTAAATCAAAATTTGTGGAGGTAAGCTTCTCCTTAAAGGATTAGGTTAGTTTTTGGAGTATGTTTTGATCCACTTTAGCATCAAATGCAAAGGAAGGTTCTTGTATATACGTAGTTCATGGAAGCTAGTAATAGCATGATCACACCACGTCCTTTTTTATTCTTTCTTTCGTTTACGGTGAGTCAGGTTATATAATGTCAGTTAGTCTGGATGTTGCTGCTAAAAGATGGCAGGGGTTCTGTTTCAATTCGAGACTTACGAGCCCAGGAAACAAGCTCCTAGTATCATCTGAGACTTAGTACAGTGGTTTTTATTATTTTTTTTTATGTCCTCTTGCAATGTAGAGTTCTGTTTGCATCAAGTGCAAATTTGGTGTCTGTACATAATAAGTGTTCAGATGAATACTGTATTGTATTTGAGATTTGAAACTTCTACTGTGTTATTTGCATCGATCGGTGTTGTGTAATGATCTCTGTTGTCAACTGCATTGTAAAAATGGCTTCTATAATTCTGCTTATAACATTTATATTTTATAAATGGATGTGCAATTATGACATTATTTTTGGATGATTTGCCATAGTTTAAATTACACTTGTTCTCAGGCAACTTTTTAACTCCATAGACGTTCTAAAGGCTATATTTCTATAAATTCCATCAAAGTTCTCAAACACTTCACAATTCTTCAATATACCATGTATTATGCAGCATAACTATAGCAAGAAATTTAATGTCAAACCAAGCAAATGCACATTGAATCTGCATAATATCAAAAACCATCCAATACTTATTTACTAATCATGCTTAATTCGAAAATTGAAATCAACTAATTAAAAAATATGAAAAATCAGACCATAAACTCTCAAAGGTTACCTATACGTTAACTACTACTTTGCTAGCCAAGGAAACAAAAATCAGACAATGCATTGCGGTTGAGGGAAGATCTCATGAATAAGCTTTCCCGCCATAAAGCTGTAAGCCTCTTGCGTGAGATAAACTCCATCCCAGCTGATGAATTTGTTTGATTCAACACAAACCGGAGCATCTGGACCTCCACACATTCTTGAATTGAAAAAATTTATGTTCAACATAAATTTGTTTGTTACTGTGACATGTGGAATTGAAATGCGTGGACATCCAATAAAGTTGTGACATGTGGACTTGAAATGCGTGGACATCCAATAAAGTTGAACATTGAGAGAACTGGGAGTGACAGGTGATGAGATGTTGTTAGCTGCCAGTTTTAGTGTTGATAAAGCCGTAGAGCCAGCGACTGCAAAATTCACTCCATGTCTAAAGTCAGCTGCAATATTCTTGTACGGATTCAGAAACGGAAGTCCAAATGCCAATGTTGTCAAAATATGAAAATATAATGCAGTTTAATTAGTAATAACTTAAATATATATATTAAAATAGAAAAAATAAAAAGGATATAGTAGCAAAGTAATATTTATGAATCACTGAATATGTAAAGTACTATTTCTGTATATATTTTTTGTAAGGTTTGTTAATACATGTTTTAGGTTCTAACTTCTATATTGCAGTCTTAATGTTCATAAATTTAGCCTTTATATATATCTCAAAACATAACACAAGTATTAGTTTTGCATTAACTTAAAAAACTAAGATATATAGTGCTGATTAAGGAAAATCGTTTAGGGAAGAATTTGGTACCTGCAAGGACAAAATAATTCACATTATTATTATTATTTTTCCTTAATTTTTGTATTATATATAAAAACAAAAAGAAATAACAAGAAGAAGATCGAAAAAGCATGGATAGTTTATCATAGTTAGATACTAACTATGTCCACACTGATTAGTATTCAGAATCTAAAACATATTAATGATACAAATAAAGTTATCAAATTATATAAAAGTCGACATGTGTGTGTATATATATATATATCCGGTAAACAAAAGTTGACATATATTTTGGATACACTATATTATTCAAATAAAAAAGATTCATTAGACTAACTTCTAAAGAAATAAATAAACAATTAATGAAGTTATATCAATTATGAATTTATGATACAAATGAGAAAGGAGCGAAAATCAACGACTTTTCAAAGTAGTCGATCATGAGAAGTCCGTTTGAGCATTGACCGGTGGCATTGTTGAAGAAATTCTAACCATATGGAACCAATAGGCAAAGCAGCTCCAATTGGAGTCTCACTAATCAAATTTCTGGTGTCGGATATGGAGTCTCCGGGTTGATATATCTCATCAAAGTTGCAAATCTTCAAGGGATGAGCATTGCAAGATTGAGGAAGATGAAGAACGGAGAAGAAGCTCACGAGTGTCACAAAAACACAGAAAAACACACTATTAGCATTAATGGCCATTGCTCAGCACCAAAGAGATCTCCCAAACAAGTTTTTTCCTAAACGTATACTCTATAATGTGTTGGGGTTCTAATATATATATATATATATATATATATATAGTGAATGAATTCCTAGTTCCACACTGAGTGTGGAATAATGTTTCTTGAAAGCAATTCAAATTCTATATTATGGACATGGATTAAGTTTGTTGTTCTACGTACAAAAAGTCAAAAATATCCCTACTAGTTAGCTATGAACAAAATTAATTTAAGGGTATTCATGTAATTTTGTGAAGGAAAAAAAACATGAGTCATAGACATCATCCTCTGAATGTTGAAAATTTTCAATTAGAGTTGAATTGCGAATTGGATTGACCCAATTTGAGTTCAGCCCGGACTTTAAGAATATGGACCCTAGTTGAACATGGATGCAAACAAACTGAAGCCCATTTATTTGGTGTACTATACCAATCTGAATTTAATTTTTTTTTTGTTAGGTGAGTGGAACAAATCTGAATTTATTTCGAACATATTCAGTTCTTTTTTATTTGTTTTTATGTTAAGATCGGGTAGTCCCCGTTTTTGGTTCTTTTATTGCAAGCTAATTACACAATGGGATCGACCAAAGGGAGGGATAGAAAGTTGATTCTTCGAAAGATTTTCAGCTTTGAATAGAGCATTTTAGGAGGATTTCATGAAACAGAGGAGAAAGCCGAGAATAGTTCAAGAGAGAACAGAAAGGAGAGAAGTGAAGAAGTTATAAGAATGAGGTTAGAAAAGTCATTTCAATATTTAAATTGGTCAATATAAAAGTTAAAGGGTAAAAATGTTAATTTATTATCATTGGGGTGTCTTTGTTAGTTGTATCAAATTTGAAGAGATGTCTTCGTTTAAAAAACAGATAAGTTTCATCTGTGCATCATTTTCAAATCTTCAAAAGGTATTGTTGTACTTTATCCTTTTTGTTTTTATGTTTTTGTAACAACCCGAGTTTACCCAACCAACTTGTTTGAAAACTTTGTAGGAATTGGGTTGTATGGGCCCCTTTGGAGTGGGACGCATAATGTATTTGGTTGCCTTGCGGGCTGTTTCGGCTATGTAATTATTTCAATACTTGTATCACAATTATACACACACCGCCAGCATTATCAAGGTGGATTTTTAGCCAAAAATTCAACGCGTTTGTGTGTGTGTGTGTGCGTGTGCGTGTGTGTGTGCGTGTGTGTGAGTGTCTGCTTTCAATGACCTAACCACGCTGGGACAAGTTGAACTTTTAATTTTTAAAAATTTTGTATAAAAAGTTTTTTATATTTATATAATTATTCCTTTAAAATTTGACAGCGCGCAGCACACACACGTATATAACTAAAAGTTTATTCACGGTTTTACAAAAAAATAGAAGAAAAGAATATGATCATGACACAATTGTTAATATATATAATATATCTATCAATTTATCACTTTTTCAAAAAATATGATACATATTTTTTTTACTTTTTTAGAAAATATGATATATTTTTTTCTTTTCCAAAATATTATATTATTTCCCACTTTTCAAAAAAGAAAAGAAAAGAAGCATTTCATCAACATATTCTATCACAATTTTGACTCTACCACAAACAAATAAATTATTTTCATCACATCTTCATTCTTCAACATTTTCCACAATCCAAACAAAGCAAGCAGATCAACCATTTACCATTAGACAGAGATTCAGTCAGTCATACTGCAGTGCGGCAGACAAGTAATCTAATATATTTTTTTATCATCTAAATTTACGATTATTATTTCATATTATAATTTTAATTAGAAAAATTATTAGTTATTACTATCAAAATTACTTTAGGACCTGTTATTCTTTCAAAATTTACACAAATTATTATTCTCTAAATAGGACATATAATTTCTTTTTATTTGCAGCCCAAATCAATGAAATCATATATTCACTTACTCTATCGAATTTTCTGATTGATTGGATTATCTGGTTATAACTTATAAGGTTATATTTTGTTATCATGGATTTTATTATTATTATATTTTTTACATATGTGATATATTAGAACAGTTACAGTAACTGTGTTATTTTCTTTTTCATATCTTCTTGATTCATTAAATATGATTTTTTTTTTTAGTATATTTAATTAAATGAACTCAATTTTGAAACAATAATGAATAATGTGAAAATCGTTGAGAATGTACTAAATAGAAATATTATGAATCAATGTTTTAATTTTTATATATATTGTTTTGGTTCAAATTATATATATCTATATATATATATATATATATATATATATATTATTGCTATTAAAACTTACCCCCACATAAAGAAATTCCTGGCTACGCCACTAGATACTTTTGCTTGTATTAATTTATTCCTCAATTCACAAAATAAATTTATTTTTTAAACACTCTATTTTGGGAGCAATGAAAGTAATTTTTGTTAATAATTAGGTTGATTTTTACCGGTCTCATATTAATAGTTAATTATTCTTTTTAGGTACCCCAAATTAATTTTTATTTAGATATGTCCCCGCTAAAAAGAATTTTTAGTACAAAGAGCATTGGCTGTTTTTTTAACCGAAAATTCCAACCAAAGTCTTCTTATGGTACATTAATGTTGGTGGGATACTTTTGCTTGTCTCCACTCACTCTCCCTCTATCTCTCACAACCCAAATATTTAAAATTCATTTTCCTGTATTAGCCCTGTGAACTTCGATCAGTTGAGCCATATATTCAACCACCATATAGACATCTCAGGAGATCACAGGATGAGCCACCCATAAAAAGAGTAGTAAAAGAAAAGATGAGGACAGTTATAAATTTCAAAATAATAGCAGGCAATTTTATTAACATAACCATACTGTATGAGAGATCTACAACGTTTAGAAACGACAAGCAAAAAATTGGACCAATTGTTGGGCTGATGTATCCCTGTTGAGTATGTTGGGGCTTGGGCTGGTGGGAAGTGGCCCACTTCTATCTTTCTTTCTATGTTTAATATGTCAAGGGTTCAATGATGGCCCACTTATTTTTTTTTTTTTCGGTAAATAGCTACAACTACTGTCTTCAGCTACACTATAAATAGGAGCGAGGAGGTCTCTAACGTTGAAAATCATCGTCCCGTATAGTGTTTTTAGTAAAATCCAATTTCCACTAAAACCAATCCTTAACATCTCCTCCTTAAGATGAGATCAATTTCTATGGTTG